CACTACTTTGTTTCCAGTTCTCACTGGACCAATTTTTCTCAACAATACGTTAAAAGATTACAAATCGTATTTAGTTAAAGACATCACCCTCAAAAATTGTAAATTTTGTTCTCGTTCCCAGTAAATTGTGAAAATCCCTAAAAAAATTACAATTATTAAATTCAGTAAATTTTGAAATTTTTTTCTCTAAAATTGGCATAACTTATTTGAAAAATAAAAAAATCAAAATACTTTTTTCATATTTAAACCTTAAGTAATTCCGTTTCATTTGATATAATATTTTTGAAAATCTGACCCTTTACATGTCCACAAGAGGGGATTCAAAATAACTTTTTTACAAAACTCAATTTTTTCAACTTGATTTTTGAAAATATTCCGAAAATGCTGAGTCTTTTAAACATATGTCAAATTAAAGCTTTTATTACGTTCTATAAATTAAAAGAAAAATGTTTTCTATGTATTCAAATTTTATTTTTTTTGTTTATTTTAAAATATCTTATAGGTGTTTGCCATAGTAATGAGTTAGACAATAAATATAAAATTTATATGAATCTGACTTACATTAAATATAAATTTATACAAAAAGATTTTTTGAATTTTTGAAAACTTGTAAATTTGTATAAAAAATAGAACATTTGTAATTTAACTTTTGGAAATTTTCCGGGAAATCTGCGTCTTTTAAATATATGTTAAAATAAAGCTTATTTTATGTACTAGAAGTTACAAAAAAATTGTACCGACGACCTATTTTCTACGTGCAAATGGCAGTCGAAGTAGAACAAAAAATAGGAGTTAATTTTGCTTTTGGAATAAATCACCAATTTCTGAAAATTAAATACTATCTACAGATTTCCATCGAAGCGTTTCTTATAATAATGATTTTAATACTGTCAGATATCATCTATACTTGTGTCAACTATGCTACGTCCATAGTGTGCCACGACTCCACTGTGCTACCGTTTTTTAATATTCAACTTGAGTTAGGTGAATTCATTAACACTTTTTAATCCTAAAATCTGAATAGTTAAATAATGAAGTATGGTAGTGTTATAATAATTTCCAGGTTCATTGTAATTTTTTTTTGTCAGTTTCTATTGGGGGAGTGCATAATGATACTTTTTACCCTCTCGTATTTTGAATGGGGGACAACTGCCCTCTGTCCATAGTTCTGGTGCCACTAATTACATAAATCATAACATAGTTCTACATTAAGTATTATGATTTTGAATAGTAGAATATAAAATAATTAATCAATAGTTTTTTGTAATTATATAGAATGATCCGTTTATCATAACCTACTTAATTACAGGCAAAATAAATACAATATCGACAAAAAAAAATTTGATGTTTTTAGCTGCTATAAATAATGTATTACTATTAATAATTCATTAAGATATCTAAAAAGTAAAATGTTGCATTCCGTTATATTAAATATCCAAAACCTATTGTTTAACGGGCGTTGTATTAATCCGATTTTTATGCAACAAATGACAACGTTTGACAAATTAACAAATTTTTTCAATACATTAAAACAAGATAATATTATAAAAATATAGTGTGTTAAAAAAAAATTATATATGAATAGATGTAGAAGGTGATTCTTTTAACGTTAGTCACTCAATTTTTCTTATATAATTGTTAAGAAAGTTATTTTTGGTATATTTTAGATTTATATATTTCTTGATTTATTAGTTATTAATTACTTATATAAGTAATCCCATATATCTTATTAGTGGGTAGTCCAAAGTTAAAAGCATAAAAACTAAAAAATGACACGTAATATATCAATATGTGCTCTATTAAAAATTACCTTGCAATAAAAAATACACTATTAAATACCGGAAAACAAAAAAATCATTAAATTTTTTTGTATACAATAATTTGATTTTGTATTAAAAATATTATTAATACCAAGTTAAAGATTATTTTAAAATTTAAAGATGTAGTATTTTAAACAAAATATAAAAATAAATGCAATTAAAACCAAATGTTTGAGTAGTTAACTTAATATCTCTCCTAAAAAAAAAAAATACAGGTAATTTTCATAAATTTTGATGTACCAAAATTCCTCTAACCCTATTAGATTACGCTAATGAATACTTTCATATATATAAAAAAAAAAAAAAATAAATATAAACAATTTTTCCTCGCTTTTCAGAATATATTTTTAAATTAAAATTTTTAATTTACCCAATTTTAATAAAAAAAAACAATGTTAGACTAATATTGTGCTAATTGTGATCTAAAATATGCTAAAATGACCAAAGAACGATAAAAATTTCTTAAAAATCGAAAATTTGCAAAAACTAAAAGTAAAATAAAAATTTCATATTTATTTCCCATTACATAAATCAAATATTGTGATTCTATGGTCTAAGATAACCCTAAAAAATATATTGTACAATGAAATCCGGGCTCCAATAATAATAATAATTAAAATATAATTTTTAATTTTAAACATTGTTAAATAAGCGTTCGTTTATATCTTTTTTATAGTTGTGAACTTAACTGACATAACTTTGTCTCTAATTTATTGCATACCTGTAGAATTACAATTGTTCCCTATTTTATTTAATTAATTATCTTTTAGAGAAATTTAAACTAATTGTTGTTAAATAAAATATCTACACTGTGTTGAATTGCTAGATGTAAATTCTTTAAAAGTTTACTTTCTTGTGTAATTTTATTGAGTGTTACAAATAAATCGTCTATTTTAACAAAAATATTAACGTAACCGAATAATTTGAAAATTGTTATTATCGGGAATTTAATTTATGACATGTGGTCATTCTCCTTCAAATGTATTGTTTCGAATGTTATTCATATAATCAATATCATAGAAACTTGATATTTGAATATTATAATTTATTTTTATATATTCAGTTTTTTGTGTTTTCGAGTATTTTTTTGAAGTGCACAAATTTTGTATTTTACGTTTCATTTACTATAAACCAAGTTTGTTCAGTGACTAGTGTATGTTAATATTTGCTTAAACATAATATTGTTGAAATTTATAATTATACCGAACAAAAAAATAATTATGAAATTTTCTAGATTAAATTAATAATGGTTTAAGGGATTAGACAAATTAGTTGTCGTAAAATCATGTTAAACAAATATCTTACCTCGTTCCACACCTGTTGCTTGTTATTTTATATTATTAGGTACTCTTATATAACTTGTATAACGCTCAGAATCGCAAATACAGGTGATAAATGGAAGATGGAGATTCCATTTGTATAAATAATAAAACTGGTTAGTTTGTAAGACTGGTATGATAATATATTTAACTACAAAAATTTAAATAAGGAATATCGTTTCGCTATACATTAATTGATATTAAAAATATTACGTAACGGAGTTATTGTTAGATAATTATATAATAGTCTTATTAAGCGTTAACTTTGTTTCTTATTTTTAGATGGAAAAATGTTTTATTGAAAAAGTGCAAACAGATAATACCGAAAAGGTGGTTGTGTAGCAGCATTGTCACATGATGATGATTGAAACACGTAATGTGCTTTATTAATTATCAGTTTTGACCTACCTTTTCTTCGTTGTTTTTCTTTCCAATAGAATAAGCGATACAGGGTCACGTGTAAGAGTTACAATTAATGAAAACATTGCATTAAAAAACCTTTGATGTTTTCAATGCTGATTGAACATTTAAATTTAATCTGTCATCCGAATCATGTTTTGCTGCAACGTAGCTTCGAAATTGTCTAACCTATATTTATTAATTAGAAGTCAATGACGTGATCTGGAGTCGTATTGACTTTTTATTTTACGTCAACGATTTTGAATGTCAATAATTTACTAACCTTATACGTGAAACGATAAAAATATATGACAACCGTACGCGTTTAACGTTTGTTATTTTAAAACAGTTTCGTGATTTTTGTATTGTATCACCAATGTTGTTTACAACGTTTTGTGTTTAAAGTATTGTTTACAATCCAATAGGTAGATTTACCAATTGGACATTGATTCGGTCAAGTAAAATATAACGTTAATTTCAAATCTTAGTGGTATCACATACTAAGGACGAGCTGTTATATGTCTGCAAAACAGATGTTGAGTTATCCAGGATATTATCATGATTATCCTTAAAACTTAAAATTTTAATGTACCTCTATATGAGTGCACATCAAAAGTTTATTTTAAGGCAATTGTAAACATTTGGTATTATTAAATTTTCATTATATGATATTTCATAATGTTGTGTCTTGGATTTTAAAGTTCGTAAGTGTATATAATGCGTGTTATCAAGAAATCAGAAATACAAGCTTATTCAGTATTTTTTAAACTTAAATTCTTGTTGTTTACCAAAACTTACCTATCCTATTCCCGTTATTTGTATATTTTTCATTATTGCTATAACATAATGATTTTAGGAAACAGTCTACGTCATAGATCTTTATATTAATCCGGTCTGGCCATTGTAGTGCTACGTATTTTCCATAAAATTCTTTGTAATAACAGTCGCAAATATAAAAATAATTTTTTGTACTAAGGCTTCAGACGATTAAACGGAATTTCCGGGAACCGCATCGGGCAACGTAAAAATTCACAATAATAGTTTACCAAAACTATTATTGTTTATGTGGAGTGCGTGTTTTATACATTCAGGCGAGTATTAATAAAACATTATTTTAAAGGGCTTCCATTAATTCAATGGATTAAAAATCTTACGAGATACGCGATTTTACAAGTGAAACGGAATATTACAAGTAACGTAGTTTTTGGCAGTTCGATTCATCATTTTCGATTGGGAAAGGTCAATGGCTGTAAAGCGATATACATAATTTAGTTGTACACTCATAGTGCCTCGGTACGAGCGTGTAAAAGCTCACGTTCGATATGACCAGGGGAAAATACCTGGGTACAATGGGGTCTTCCGGTGCCTTATCTGTGATAAACAATTTATTTCGTTATTATTATTGTTCTTGAAATGTGTATGTGATAACGATGTCGAACATTACATAAATAGGTGCACGGCGTTCGATGCTGTTTCAGTGTAACGTGTTTAGCGTTTACTGCTTGTTGACCTCCGGTAATCTCACAATACTAGTTTTATAAATTGAACTTGCGTTTTAGTATCAACTCGTCTAGTGGCTCGTACTATTTGATATATTTTTACAATAAAGTGAACATATCTGCTTTGTGTTTCGCGTTTAAAAGCGAAGTACAATTTGAATTTAAACTTAGTGCTCGCGTGCAACTCAGTTACTGTCAACGTAATTTTAATGTCATATCCAAATCAAAATAAACATACTAAAATGGATGACATCAACGAGTGAGTATACAATTTTTAACATAGGTCCTTTACTTTTGATTTAATATCGGTCGTAGTTGAATTAGAGTATAACTTATTATATTTGATGGTTCAGTGTTAAATATTTTTACTATATAGGCAGTAAATCTGATTTTTTGGTAAGTGTGTATTTTTTTAATACTGTAAATATGCGTGTTCAATATAGCGTCATATTATGTTGAGAACTGTGACCTGATGTTATCGACTTTGTTGAAATAATCCAACATCTAGTAACCTTCGGTAAATCATCAAAATGATAAGTGTGTGTAATTACATATGGCTTACTGAAGGTACTTTTTTTCAACATAAGTCGACTTACAAACATTTTACCATCTTGGATTTCAACTGGCCAAGCTAACTAGAAATAGCTTTTTATCCTTTTCGACGGCGTCGCTGTCAGGCGAAGAGGCATTATACCGAAAAAATCGGGCTAGGGTGATGAAAAAAGAAATATATATATATATACAATAAAACTTTGTAACGGTAAACGAGAAGGAAAGATAAAAAACGAGGATCTGCAATGTCCATATACTCGTAAAAAAAATCTTCTCTAGTATTTACTAGTAGTCTTTATACTTTCTACAGTCGGATAATGGCAAAACGTTGAAGTGACTACACAAAAAAAAGTTATTTTTATCCATGGTATTTTTGAAAAAGATATACTGTCACGTTACAAATTGAACGGACTTCATTCCGTGCACAATAGTTTGCACCGTTTTAAATGCAAATTATATAAGATTTCCTTTTTAGTTTTTATTAAAGTATTGTTCTTGCTGTTATTTGGTTAAGCGAACTGAAAAAGGATCTTACCTAATCGTTTTCTTTTCATATTAAGTGTTAAGAGAATTACTATACATCTCGTACTTCATTCAACGTTTATGATAATATTATATAGAGTATTGTGCAATTAATGGGAAATCATCAGTTGCAGATTAAACGCTTACAGCTGTACGACTGAAACGTTATTGCAATTAATTTTTCATAAAATTATTTCACAACTTATAATCTTACCCACGTGGCTTAAGTATTACTAATAAATAAGCCAATAATCAATGAGCGTCGAACTGTTAAGTTTTTATATGGATCTGTTTTATTAAAATAAAATATATCTCGTATAAATTTGTTTAAATTATTCTTCAATAATAGCAAACACACATTTATATAAATTATTGTATAGACAAATTTTCTATGGTAAAGATTGAATTATGTTGGACAAAATTTTGCAGAACATAATAGTGATTAATTATAATAATAACAATTATTGATCATTCCAAGATGATCGTTAGACTCGTTTTACTGTTATCCATTTTAAAACACGTGTAAACATCAATTGTACGATAAAAAAAAATTTATACTGTTCACGTGATAACTGGCAACAGTTTATAATAAGGCGCCTAATGAAATCAGTCTCTATTTTATTAATAACTTTTGATTTGCAAAAGAAAACGCAATAAATAATTATCAATGTTTCAATTAAAATGGCCCCAAGACGTTAAATCATCGTTATAGAATACATTAATTAGCTTAACAACGTTTGATATACATGTGTTGAAATAGTATTTCTTTGAATTGCAGGTCTTATTGTACGAGATGTGTGTTCGATCGACTTCCACCGGAAATGATAAGATTCATATTTCGAGAGCTGTCTACCGAAGATTTGCTTCAGATTTCGGCTACGACAGACCGTCTGTACCAAATAACTCAACACCATTTGTACCTCTTTAAAGGCGCATTGTTAATACGCGGTGGTCAAGACCTTGCTGACCGATTTGACGTTAGCCGTGTAAATTCTTTATACTTGGCTGATGTTTATGATTTTGAAAATGATGTCCTCAAAAAACTACTAGCAATGAATGGTCGTAGTACTCTTGATGTCTTACACATAGGGTATGGTACACCAGTTAGATATACTGACTTGCCCTCGGAGGGTCTACTTCGTCTGTTAGCTGGAATTAAGACTAAACGCGTTTGTTTTAACAATGTGATGATGACTGCTGAAGACGTGATGAATAATGTATTTTTATTAGATGTCGATGAAGACGATAAACCACCGGTATTACGTTGTGCCTATGATCGGGCTGACGATGCCGATGTAATACGGCTCATGAAAGAAGTTGAGTCCACCTGTGCCGGTCTACTTGCCGAATTCAAAATAACTATTCGAAGACCTGCAACTCGAGCATTTGCTGTCTATCCAAAAGCTAATGGCATGAACGATTCTGAATTACCAGAAGATCTTCAACGTTTTTCTGTTACTGACTGTGCCGGCTTACCAGCTTCGACGTACAGACAGTTGGCCTCGTGCAGGAGACTTCGTAGATTGTCACTAAAAAACGCCAAAAACATTGAAGATGATGGGTTTGAAGCCGTGGCAAGTATGCCATCCCTCGAACACCTCAATGTAGATGGTTTAAGTAACGTAACGTCTGACGGACTACTTAATGGTAAGAAAAAAAAGCTGATTCAGTACTTAATAATTTTCCTTTGTGGTACTGTCCCAAAGAATAATTCATTTGATTTTTACATTATAAATCTCAATTGCTCATATAATTGACAAGATTTTAACTTAATCCGATTTCTTACTTTTATGGTATTTTGACAATTATTGTGTTTAATACATTGCAGCGAATTGATCATGTTATGTTGATATGTAACAAAATTTATTAATTTATAATTGATAATCAAGTACAATAAAAATAATTTTAAAAATATAATATCTATTGGAAACATTCTCAAATTATTATTGTTCACTTGTTTCATGGTCCACTCGAATACTATAATTCCTTATTTTACTTTCAAAATTCAATTTCCGATCGTAATAATGATAAACCCAACCAACCTGATAAAATCCAGTTATTGTTACCACACAGTCATTTACAGTAACGTCGCAAACTTCTGTAGTTTGGGCAAACATCTTATACGAGGCCTTCAGTAATGTTATGATTTCAGAAACGCGGGCCCTAAATATAATTATTAGTGGCAGAGTCCTGGGCATCTGTCCCGACTGCCCTCCTAGCTCTTTCACTGATCACATAAATTTATATTTATATAAAAATTGATAAAATTATTGCTTATTTGAACGTTTTAATAGTTGTAGTTTTGTTGAGAAGTGCAATTTTTAAAACACTTACCGGTTTCTATTAAAATATTTTAGTGTAATGCTTATTTTAGGTAAATAATTTTTTTAAGTTAATATAAATATACTTTTTCGCTTAAAACTGAAACAAGTATCTCCTCCATTCATTCAATTTTATGAATGCATTAGACTGTTCATAAAGAGTTTATTAATTTTTTTTATTACTTACAGGTATTGAAAACTTGAGTCAACTCAGATCTTTAGTTTTGAAAGAATGTCCGTATATGACGGATGATGTTTTACGCCGAATTGGTGACCTACGTCGTTTACGCAGACTTTATTTGGATTTATCCGACTGCGTAAAAGTTACTGCTGCTGGTGTACGAGACATGTTGCTCGGATGCGGTTATCGCCTTCGGGAGCTTCATTTGACAGTACCCCAAAATCGTGATTATGCAAACGCCGTAAATGCAGCTGTTATGTCAGACCGGAGTCATCTCCGGGAGTTCAAACTCACTTTTGAACGACTGTCATTTCAAGAGCACCAGAACAATCAGCCAGAAGATGGCTGGGAACGTGCATTAAAAAACCGGTTTAGCCGGGCCGGTGTTCATTTTACCATTCAACACTCGTTTACTAAAATTACTATTTCGGTGGATTAAATATAACGTCATAACTTGTTCGGACCGTCCATGAACTTGTATATAAGCGAAACTAGTCAAAAAAGTTTTTAACTAATTTAAGATTGTAGTGTTTAAAAAGTTATCTCCATATCGTTAAAAACATGTTATATGCGTGATTGTGATCGTTTTATTTGTATAATTCTGTTGTTATTTTTGGTCGTTCTATTTTAAATTTAGTTTTAGAAAAACTAAAATTATTACTGTTGTTTTTGTACATATTTGTAAATAAAAATAGACACTTTTTTTTAGGTACTCATAAATTTAAAATAGGCGTATGTCAATTTTTTTTTTTTTTGTTATGTAACAAGTTTTTCTGCATTAAACTGAGATCAGATTACTTGGGATAATTATATGACAATGATAACTGTGATGTCGCTTTAATGAAGTTAACTTGCCTACTCACTCTTCAAACAGCGTCATTTTTCATTGAAACTACCACTGTCGCCATGACTACAAATTGTTTGTTATAGTATACATGTCCGAGTATGCCTTTCTTGAAACTATCGGCACATCGACCTATAATATTGATCATTTCGTTACACTTTCTAAAAAGCTTTAATGTTTACAAATTGAATACATGGATGTTTAAATGAAGTTCAACATAATTTTTACTCAAAGGAAAAAAAATTCAAACTATTTTGTAATACATGGATTTTAAAGAATGCTGTTTATTTTGTTTTTATCCTTCGGCGGGTTTTCAGAATATATAAACATATCGAAACGCCAACAGAGAAGTTGCCGGAAGCGTATCAAACATCAAAATAGTAGTAGTTGTTCATTATAAAAAAACAAAATTAAAAACGAATAAAACAACAGTATTTGGTTTAATAAAAACTTATAAGTTGCTAAATTTTGAATCGTCAAGATTCATGTGTATAAAATAATTTTTACCAAATCATAAAAACATATCCAAAAGTTGAGCACTTAAACTTAAATACATGCAATATTTTCGATCGTTGTTTTATGATTATTTTTATAACATTACATTTTATCATGTTATACTGTAATTATGAATTTTGAATTACAAATTACAATTTGTTAAAATTGAGAATTAAATGAAATATTCATTAGGTTATAAATAAAATACTTTTCTCATGATACAACGCAATAAAAATGTTTTAAGTCTTTATGACGTATAAAATTAAAGATGCCAATTAGACGTAAATTAATTCTTTTGTATTTCGTTTAAATTTAAAATAATTTTTCACATGTCAAAAGTTAATAAATAAATAATTGTAAATGGATCAATATAAATAGTATAATAAAAATATTTAATTTATTGAAATATATTAAAATTGTCTGATTAACTGTCGTAGATATACTCTCTCATTAAAAAAAAAAAATCAATATTAGCTAAAATTGTATATTTTTGGTTTAAAAATGTATCCAATTTAATTTGGTGTATAATATTTATTAATTACTATTTTATATTACTTAAAGCATTAATTCACATTTCTATATATTTATTGTAAATTATAATGTAAGATAAATATTTTTAGATGGAATCATTAATTATTCATTTTATTTAATTTAATGACAATTTTTTCGTGCGCGACAAGTATAGATGATATCTGATAATGATAAAAATCACTACCACAAAAAACTCTTAGATGCAAATCTACAGATAATGTTTAATTTTTAAAAGGAATTATTGAATTATTCTAAAATCAACATGAACTACTTTTGATTTATTAATTATTAAGTTTTTTTTTAATTCATCGCTTATACCTTATAAGTGTATCAACTTTATTTTTTTAATGGCAACATACATGTCTGATTAATAAAATAAAAAATTTTTGTCGAAAATAATTTTTGAAATAGTACTTCAGAAGTTATTAACGTTTTTAAATATAGAGGAAGGCATAACTTGATAGAGTAATGCAGAATGATAAAAAAAATGACCCAACGTAACCCACCAAAAAAAAATGTATGCACTAAATTGATGGAAAATACCTTAGGTATTTATATAAAACAAATTTATTTTGACTCGTCCATATTTTAAAGAGTTATGGAAGTTTTAAAATTATAACACTATAGGTGGTATTTTTACACATAAATTACATTTTTTATTCAATTACGGCGGACATTTGCCAGTAGAAGATAAGGTATTGGGACAAATTTTTTTTTAACTTATAATGTGTAACATAAGATTTAATTTAACATATGTTTAAAGCTTGGAGTATTTCCAAAACATTTTCAAAATTAAGTTGAAAAAGTTCTACTTTTCACTTGTATGTTTCAAGTTGTGAACCCGTCTGAATACTGTTTTCCTGATTTTTAATTAATCTAAAAAGTAATAATGTACACAATTGAACACAGACATTTACCAGTATTATTTTTTTAAATTAATGTTTTTCTATGTTAAATATTTAGTAATAAGTTAAAATTTTAATAATTTAAAGTTATCAATTAAGATGATAGTATAAAATGACTATTTAAAACATAATAATTATAAATATTGGACTTTTTAAAAGTTATTTATAATATTTAGTAGGGCGGATTAAGTCGATCTTGGAGATTTAAATGAGAACCATTTGAACTGTATTGTATACATTAAAATAGACATTTTGTGAATATTTGAAATTTTTAAAAAAATTTTATTGGTCGCTCAACGTGTTTTTAGTATTTCGACCAAAAATGGCTACCGTTATTCAATTTTTGGTCAATTATTATGATTAGTATATCAAAATATCTTATTCATTTTCTAATAGGTCTCAAGTAAACTAAAAATAAAAAAAAAATTTTATGCCGTTTGCATGTTATTTATATATATTATAGTAGAAAAAAATTATTATTATTAACTAACCTTAAAAACTTATACCTTTTTTAAAAAATAAAGCATAAGCTAAAATATATGATTTTTCTTTTGTGGGGAGGATATTTGTGGTTGAAATACTAAAAACACGTTGAACGACCAATACTTTTTTTTTTTTAAATTGTTTAATAGTACAAAGTTCTCGTTTTAATGTACATATTAAAAAGGTTCTTATTAAAATTTCAAAGTTTGATTATTTGTGATTCATCCTAATATTGAGTATAAATCACAAATCACACAATCAACAGATTTTTGAACACCACGTAATTCTTCGAATCTATCAAATAAAAAATGTTGTCATAAATTGAGTGGTAAAATAGACATCATTATATATTATACTGACTTTCAGTAAAACCGGTTACTACCAGAGTTATAAATTATATGTATTTATCAATTTTTTTTGATCCAATTTGAAGGCTCCCAAGTTTGTGCAAATTTGTAGTAGGATACGACAAAGTTATACACAGTTTAGGTATGATATATATTATATGTAGTAAAACAGAAATATTTTTGTTTTAGGGAGTAATTAACCCCCTGATTTTCCACAAAACTTTAACTTCGGGAAAAAGCACACTACTAAGTTTCAAGTCTGTTACTTATAATTTGCATTGGCTGATGGTGTGTTCGAATTAACTTAACAAGATTTATAAATGAATATTATTCACATTTCTGGCTATATCTAAATAAATATTATGAAATTACAAGCAAACATTACAGAAAAACCACTTAAAACTATTTAATCAAAACACCAGACGAATTTCATTAAAACAAATTGAAGTTTAGAAATAAAGTTCTAATTACGTACCTATTTTAAGTAAAAAATACGTATATGTATAATTGCTTCAATTTCAAACAGTATGGTTTATGTAAATGTATGAACTGTAACTGAAATGCCACGCCCAAGTTTTAACCCATAGAACGAATTAGTAACCACATCATTTTAGTAATATGCAATGATCAACGAAAATTCAAAAAATGAAAATAGTTGAATTTTTTAAAAGATATGCAACTAAACATATTTATTGTTTATTATTGTTATAACTATTTATTTATTCATGTTTACGTTCTCAGACATGATAATTCTTGTGTTAGAAAAGACAAGCAAACGTACAAAGCACAGCGCAAATGAACGCTACTTGGTACCTACTCACCAAGGCACGAACCATTATCGACTGAGTTAAATAGCCGCCTCAGATGCATATTACACACATTATAAGTTGAGTTCTTAGAACTGAGTTGTTGTTGGGCCCTAATCTATTTAATTGGATGCAATACATTAATTTAAAAAATATGTTATTTATCATGTAATCAAGTTACATAATTGATACATTATTTTTTAGATCCAAAATAGCTAAACCACAATATAATGACGCAAATTATAATGGCTAATAAAATTATACTATTATGTATAAGTTTAAATAGTAAGTTAATGCTGGTCAGTGGGTATTTTTTTAACGCGAAATTCTTCTGAGAAACAACATAGTTAAAATTAATTTTAAAAGAAAGATTGTAAATACAAGAATATATATGTATATATTTTTATATTAGTTTAAAAAAATGAAAAAGTTTGAAAAGAGGTTCAACTATTTTAATTTATAAAATACTTATAAGGTAAATAATGTATTATTTTAAAAGATTAAAAATGTAAAAGGAGGCGTGGAAGGAACAATAGAGTCGGGTTAGATATGGCTGGTACTTAGCGTTGACATTTATGCTAAAAGATCAATTACCTTTTTTTATTATAATGGTGTTATTTATTTATTATAGTACAATAAGATCCAAGTTTTTTTCTTTTGTGTCGTAAATTTTGTGCAAAAATACAATCTCAGTTGTCGTGTTTTAAGTATCCAGTTTAATGAAAACTTGCCAGATTAAAAATAACGTTGTAAAAAAATGGAAATCTTAATTGAAAAATGTTTTACCTCAAATGAAATCATAGGTTGTAAGAAATATTTAATATTTTTTTTACTATTATTCTAATATTGGAACACGTTGTACGGTGTTATATGAAAAGAGTTTACCCTTTTTATCTGTTTTTAGTATAGTTTAGAATTAAAGTACCTAAAGCAATAAGTATAACAGCGTCATTTAGTCTTTGCTATAAGCCAATTTTCAACAAAATTTCATCATCTTTCTGAAAATAATGAATCCTATAAAAAGCTGACTCTTAGAATGACCAAAAAAGATAATAACACTATATGATATATTGGGTGATTTCTCCTGAACTGTGTAGTACGTAATGTCTTTTAAAACATAAAATAAATTGTACTTTTTAGTTAGAATTATTCTATGCACTTCAAATTTAAAAAATAAATTGATTTCGTTTTATGTCATAATTTGATGACATAATTAGAGTAAATGACTATTTATTATAATCTTTTACACAATATTATACTTTTTAATTGGTAACCTACTTACTGGAAAATTATCCTATAAAAAAAATTAATTGGTT